ACATTTGTGGTCTGAGAAGAAATATGCTTTGTATTATTTCAATTTTAAGGAATTTCTTAGGGTGTACTTTTGGGGTCAATTTGCCATATCTTGAATGTAATATACAATAAGAAATGGATATTTTTCAGTTGTTAAGTGAAGCATTATATAACTGTGAATGCGCATTATATAAAAGAGTATCTTTCCATCTAACAAATTGCTTATTGATTTTCTGCCCTCTTTATCTACTAATTATTATGTGATGGACTGAATCTTTAATCATAATAATAAATTTTTCTATCCATTTTTACCTCTAGTGTTTTGATACTTTGTTTTTAGGTGTATCTGTAGGAGTCTTCTGAATAATTAATCCCTTTATTACTATGCAATGCTTCTCTTTATTTCTGATAATATTTCTTGTCATGGTATTTGCTTTGTTTGAAGTTATTTTAGCTACTCTTTTTATAATAGTACAATATGCCATTCTTTATCTCTTTTCTTTTAATCTATCTGGGCCATTCTTTTGAAACTGTGTTTCTTATGCATAACATATAGTTAGATATTGGTTTCAATTTATTCTGGCAATCTATGTCCATATTGAGTTATTCAGACCTTTCACTTGTAAAATTGTTGCTTGCTATAGGTGAACTTCCATGTTTATATTTTCTTTTATTATTACTGCCTATTAATTTTATAAAATGTTGGTTTTACCTTCATTTTTTTCATCAGTCTTTCTTGGGTCAATCCAACCCAGTGATCTTCTGCACTTCTAAATTCTGTGGTGATATTAGTAAATGTAATAGTTGGAATAACAGTAATAGGCAATTTATATTGACTATTGACTCTGCTGGATGTCAAGTTACTTTTTATTTATGTTATTTAACTTAATTGTCCCAAAGACCTATGAGAAAGGTGATAATTCACTCATTATTTACTATTTAGCCTGGTTAATAGATGAAGAAAATGAGGCAATAAAGCTGTCAGTTTCAAGTGACATTGTTAAGACTCAGTGCAAGAGATACAATAGAATACTTTTCTCTTATTCCCCTTCCAACCCCAGTCCTATATTCTCAAGGGCCGATGGTGTATTCAGAGGAATTCGTTTTCAGTAAGAAATGGAAAGTGCTTATTTGAGAAAAGGCAGAAAGAGGTCTAAGGCTAAAGCGGAGTAGTGGGTTCTTCAAGGTAGGAGATTTGAAAGGAAGGCAAGATGCTCATTGAGTCACCTGACTGAAGGGAGCCCTCATCAAGGCAATGTTATGAATTAGATTTAAAATGGCCCCCAAAGCTCCATGTGTCTGCATAGCAATTGGGGTATGGGTTTGACATAGCTGTCTTGCTGTTAAGTGGAGTCATAACAATGGATCACTATGGGTGTGATTCAGAAGGGTATATTTCCCTCTGGGTCCTCCCTTCCCTGCCTATGCTTCCTGATTACCAGAAGATGAGAACTTCCCCTGCCCAGATCTTTCCATCATGATGTTCTGCCTGGAGCCAGCTAGCTGAGGACTGAAACCTTTATAAACTGCAAGCCTAACTAAATCTTTACTCTTTCAAATTGTTGGTGTCGGATATTGTGTCTTAACAACAAAGAAAGTAACTAAGATTTGCTAGATCCACTGAGTGCACCTTGATGTGGAATTTCTAGACTCCGGAATTTTGCTTACTTCATCCAGTCTATGATATTTTAGCCTGAGCTGATTAAAACAAGCCTGAAACTGAAAGTGTTTTTTTTTTTTTTTTTTGGAGTTAGATTTGTTTTTTTTTTTTTAAATTTTATTTAAGGAGAAAAGAAAAAAAAAGCAGAGAAAGGGTACAAGTTATACAGATTTGCAGAAAAAAAATGAACAGTAGGAAATCACTAGTTAATGGATTACATATTGTCATCTTAGAAATAATTGTTCAAGTCACAAAATTAAAGCTTGTAAAGTGGACATTCCATCAATGATACTGCAAACAGTTCTGTTCAATGATCCAATAAAAACTCTGTGATATCATATTCTATCTTATACACTTAAATATACATGCAGTTATATAGTTTAGAGCACTTTCTTTTCCTCTCTTTTGTACAATGACTATTACACATTTTGGGTTTCATTGCTCTCACGGTTCTTATTACTTTTTTGGAAGAGAGTAAAACCAAATGTGACATAACAGAACAGAATCGGTCAAGTCAAAAGGGTGGACATAATAGATAATGTGAAAACATAATACAAGGTGATCAACAATGGTTACCATAATGCCTCCCGCTATCTCTAGTAGAATTGCCTATACCATTAGTTATAATACAATTGAACAAAACAGTAAAGAACAAAACCGACAAAACCAAAACATTGGTAACATTGTAGGTCTTCAAAAGTAGATAAAAGTCAAGGAGAATGGGCGTTATAATGAATCTCATTATCTTCACAGCTGATGCCTAAACTTTCGAACCTGATACTATCCAGCAAAACAGAATAGGGGAACATCAGTTAAAAACCAGATGGTGAGAGTAATACAGGGCTTTAAATCGAGGTAATGGAAAGTCAAAGTGGGTTACTATAATATATCCTGCTATTTTTTTCCCTTTAATTAAAAGGATAAAAATTTTAAAAAAGTGTTAAAAAAGTAAATAATGGAATGGAGATTGAGATAAAAGAGGGCATAACAGATCAGAACATAACCATTTAAGCAGAATAGTGTTTCACCACCAGATAATTCTAACCTAAAAGTAGGTACCATATTGTCTTTCTTTGAAATCCTTGAGTACAACTTCGTATACTGTAGCATTAAGTATATCAAAACAATGTAAAACCATTCAAGAGAATGACAGCATTACAGAGTATTTAGAATCGACTAACAGAAAATGAATAATGGTTTCTGTATAATCTCCTTGTCTTTAAAAGGTTTTTGCTTATACTATCGTACATAATAAAATCCAGTAAGATACAACCTATTTAGACCATTGGAGACAGAAGGACAAAAGCTAGATGAGACTTCAAAACAAGATGATACTAAATCAGTATTACCTATTAAGATGTCATTTTCTCCAAAATAGCTGTTCCTGTCATCCAATCTTCTCTGCCTCATTTCTGTTGAGCTCTTATTCTGTCAGTAGCTGTCAGTTTGTCTTCTTCACTTTGTTCTCTGCTCCATTCGTTGTGGCCTCCCTGCCATTATTTCTGGATTCTTTGTATTTTTCTTTTTTTAGAATATCCTGCAATACTCTCTGTAGAGTTGAATTGGTGGTTGCAAATTCCCCCAGTTCCTCTTTATCCTGGAAGCACCTTGTTTTTCCATCAATTTCCAGGGACAGTTGTTCAGGATATCTCAATCTTGGCTGGAGATTATTATCTTTCAAAGCTTGAATTACTTCCCCCCACGCTCTTCGTGATTTGATGGTTTGTGCAGAGAAATCTGCTGTAATTCTGATGGGTGCTCCCTTGTAAGTGGTCTGTTTCTTGTCTCTGACAGCTTTTAATATTCTGTTCTTGTATTGAATTTCTGGAATTTTTATTATTATATGTCTGGGTGTTGCTCTGTTTGGGTTGTAGGTAGCTGGGGTCCTGTATGTCTCATACATCTGAGTATCTTTACCTTTTGCTAAATTAGGAAAATTCTCCTGGATTATTTCTGTGAGTAGCTTTTGAAACTGAAAGTGTAATCATGTGCTTTTTTTTCCCCTGTGGCACTACTACAGAACAGTGATATTTTGTGTTACACATCTCACTTATTTAATTCTATATATTAATTTTTATTTTGCTTTTTAGAAATTGTTAAGGACTGAATGGTATTCCCCCAAAGTTCATATGTTGAAACCTTGATCTCTAATGTGACCATATGTGGGGGAGGGGGTTTAAGGAGGGAAGGAGGGTTAATGAGGTCATAAGAGTAGAGTCTAAAATCATTGTGATCAGAGTCCTAAGAAGAGCGAGAGACACCAGAGATTCATAGTCACAGCTCAGAGTCCAAATGAGGACACAGTGGGAAAGTGATAAGTCAAGGCGAGGGATGTCAGGAGAAGCCAAATCTAAAACCCCCTTCATCTTGAACTTCCAGCTTCTAGAACTGTAAAAATAAATAGAAACTTAAATTTACATATCCCATCATCTATTTTATTTTTAAATTTTTGATACAAGGTCTCACTGTGTAGACCAGCCTGGCCTCAAACTCACAGAGATCCTCCTGCCTCTGTCTCCTGAGTTCTGGGATTACAGCTATGTGCCACCACACCAGGAAATCTGTGGCATTTTTGTAACCTAGCAGACTAATAATGATACCATGTTTTTCACCATAATTTTCTTTCTTTTTTTGTTGTGGTACTGACGGTTGAACTCAGGGCTTTGTAGATATCAGGCAAGCACTCTACCACTGAGCTACATCCTCAACCCACTTTATCATATTTTTTAAAAATAAAACTTAATTATAGAAAAAATCCCCCTGAGGTGCATCATTATGTTATTTATCTGAGCTCAGTCTTTTTTCTGATGTGGGAACTTACCACTTCCCTCTTAGGACTACTTGCATTGTCCCCTATGTCTGGTATACTGTATTAACATTATTGTTTGATGGTAAGAGTTAATTTTCATCTGTGACTGCTCAAAAGAGTGTTATTTAATTTCAAAATAAAATCACCCTTAAACATCACTACAGTACAATATTTTCCTTTTTACATAAATCCATCTGGTATTTTCCTTGAAAACATATTTTACACAAGTCTTTCACCAACTTAGGAAACTACTTGTTTGTGCTGGACTCCAGCCTCCTTAAGGGACCCCTTGAAATGCCTTGTTTTCTGGTTGTTCTGTTTGTTAAGTGTTTGCTCCTGCTCCATGTCCTGCTCATAGCTCCTTCCTGGATTCTGGGGATTATCATTTTTTATTTTGTGCCTTCTCTTTGGAGTTAAAGCCAGCTGCTGAGGGATGCTAAGTGATTGCAGCTCACAGTCCTTAAAGACACAGTGATATTAGACCCAGTTAGAAGTTGTACGGCCACTATACATCAGACGGCAATTTTCTCTTCTCTAATTTTTTCATGTACAGGAGCAGCAGATTTCACCATGCAGCTTCATTGGAAGGCAGGACCAATTGTGCCAGTGGTTCAGAGGCTCCCTGTGGCTCCTAACGATCAAAGAGATCAGAAGTCTTCAAGGTAAACCCATGTGGCTTTGCCCAGCCTTTTTGCATGAGGATCCTTGCATCTCCCAGCTAGGCTTTCTCCAGAATTTACTCCCTAAGTTCAAAGGTTCTTTGAGCTCATGCCCAGACTCTCATTTTGTTGAGAGAATAACAGTTACTCTCATAGTTCAACTCTCTACTGGACCTCTGTGAAACCTAAAGTATTGTTTACTGCAGCTCTACAAGCCATCTTGCTTTTCAAAGTCAGCTGAAGTACTTGGATTACAACTTAGTTGGTCATAAAATCTTTTTAGAAAGGGACAGATGGAAATTTTAAAGGAGTAGAAAGGGCATTTGAGGCATGGGAAAACATACAAGCAACGGTGGGAAAAATCAAAGATATGTCCAGGGAATAGTGAATAAATGTGACTCTTTCTGGCCAAGTTCCCTAAGCTACTAAAATCACAGTTTACATATTACATAGATGCTCTTTATTTATGATTCAAATGGAATCGAAACTTTCTGGTCATCTTGTATTCATTGGATGCACAAGCGTGCATACACGACTTCTCCAACTTAAATAAGCATCCTCACAACTAACAAGAATAAACTTAGGAAAGCTAGAAATTATATCTTCATAGATATAACCCAAGTTTTGGTGCTGGACCATCCACAACTTGCCAGTGTGGCTTTGATCGATTCTCTTTATTTCTCCAGACCTCTGTCTCTCTAACATGAAGGACCCTCTCAGGTGACTGCTGGAGTTCCTTTCAGTGCCGATACTTTTGGATGGCAGTGTTCCATGGACAAACACACAAGTCAGTCTTTAATTATAAGTTTTCAAAGTCATTTGGGGACCAATTCCATTCCTGAAGTCTTAAGCCTTTGATAATTACTTGCTTCTCAAGACCACTTCTGTTGGTGGGAAGTGATGGAGAAGCAGAGACACTCTTGGACCACAAGCACTTTATTTCTGGTTTGTCACCACAAACTTGGGGGCCAGATGGCAATACTTTGGAAGATGCACTAAGAACTTGAATCCTGGTTCATATTAAATATCATAAGTAAATTATTAATCTGCAGCAGACGTAAATGTTTATTATTACCCTGTGTTAAACATTAATGTTGCAAAGACCAGCCTGTGAACCACATGGAGATGCTGAGGCTGCGGGGGATAGCAGGGGTCCTTCAGCTAAAATCCAGATGTCACATCCAGGTAGCTCAAGCTAATGTCTGTGTGAGAAACACCGATTGCTAGGGTTACACACAGAGACTATGAACACTGTTCCAAAATAAATGATAACAAATAACATCTATTACGATTTTATTCACTAAATGCTCTCCTCAATAGTTTAAACCTACTGACAAATTTAATCTTCCTAGCAGTGTTATAAGGAAAGATCTATTACTTATTACTGGTAGGAAAAAAAAATCTTTCATTAGGGACAAACTATGTACCGGATATTGTTCCAGGCAGTGAGGACACAGAGATGGGATCAACTGTTGCCACAATTTTCATGCAATTATCCTCTGATTTGTTGAGATGGGCAGTACATCTCCAAACCCATACATGAACACAGTAATTTCAGAGGGATATGTGTTACAAAGTAGGAACAACAGAATTATGTGTTAGCTAAAGGATGGAGGGATATTACTATTGATTGATTGGCCTGGGGAGGAGATACTTGGGAGGAGTTTTAGGTAAATTCACTTAATAATTTCCTAAAAACAACTGGACAAATATCAATTCTTTAAAGGATCAGTGCATTGAAATTGCAATTTAGCAGAAACTTATCTTAATCAACTACCTGTACATTTTATATTTCATATTTCTCCAAAATCATCTTATATTCTCTATAATTTTAGGGTCTTAATTTTTCTGAATATTTAAATTTCAGCTGTCACACATGCCACTGGTGTTAAAAAGGTTATAAAAAGTTGAGTAAATTTTTGTTTTGCAAAGCATTTTCTATCCAGCCTGTACTTTTTCTTCTCCTAGTTTACACTTCTGTGTGTGCTACTCCATTTTCCTATTTTGTCTCACCTTGCTTATGAATGGTTTGAAATAATTTGTTGCCAAACAAGCTGAGTAGCTCCACACAAATATAAACTAAACAGAATATGAAACTGCCTCGAAACAGCTGCTGTCACTCTAGTCTTTCCTCAAATAGGTTTATCCTCTCTTTCCTTAGATTTCTACTGGAGAGTAACTTTTCTGTATTATCTGTTTCTTAAAATTTAATGGATACATGAAAATGTAAAAATTGTATGGGTGTCACGTGATGTTTCAATACATGTATATATCGTGTCATGTTTAACCTGAAGGTCCTCAAGACGATATTTGGACCTCTCTTCCCCTATTTGGGGATCCTTTCCTTTCATCCAACTCTAGTTTCTAAACTTGTCTAAACTCGAGTTTCTAGACTCATCAAGTCTGGGTCCCTCCTCAGTAGTTACCTTCATTTACTTGAAAACTGTACGTGTGGTTTATCAACACTGATTCCAACCGATTTGGAAGTTGCTTTCCTTTATTACAGAGCCTGGAAAATCAGAATCAACATTGCTTTAACTACTACACGGCCTTGGGGGTGTAAGTGTATGGTCTATGATCTGCCAATGAAAGGACCCACATGTGTGGGAATGAAAGCAAATGAAAGGAAAGTGTATTCGTTGTGGTTCTTAAGAGGATTAGAATCAGTATAAAATTTATGTATGACTATACAAGGTGTTTATTAGGTAGACTGATAAGATCAGAGGTGAAAGAATTCAAAATGGCCATCTATGCACTGAAGAACCAGAGGGTCCAGCACTAAAGGGAAGTTGAAGGTCCGGAAGCTCACAGCAGAGTCACTGGTGTGAGTTCATGTCTGAAGATTGGGGTCTTCATTGCAATTAAACAACCTGGAGACCAATGTCCAAAGGAATGGTGAAGCCTGGAGCTCTCCCAAAAAGGAAGCATTCCCTATTCTTTTTCTTTTTATTGTGTTCATGCTATAAGCCTTTTGGTAGATGTCTGTGCATTTGTGGTAGATTTTCCCCATTCAGGGTGTTGGCTTATGTCAGTCATTCACAGACATGCCTAGACTTTACTAATCTGCTGGGCAATTCTTACTCTGGTCAAGCTGACATATCACAATTAGCAATCACAGAAGGGTCAGTGTGCTACAAAGAATACCTTTCCTCATACTCACAAAGTGGGTGATAATTAAAGAAACTGTGATGGTATTTCTAGCTCTCAACATAGAGTGTTACATTCACGCCAGCAGCAATGACGGTTTTCTAGTAGGTTGTCATGGTGAATTTGAATTTTTTAATGTGTTTTACCTATCTCCATCTATCTGGATTGCATACCTTAATTCCAGTAATTTGAGCTTCAGAGATTTTATTAGCTGCAGAGTATCTTTTACTAAATTACTTCATGCATTAGATAACTGGAGTGTATTATACTGCCTTTATCTAGGAATTCTGATCAGCAAACATGAAAAAGTAAAATTTTATTGAGATATTTGAAGAAAGAAAACCATCTGGAGAAGAATATTATAGTGTTAGAATAACACTATAGTATTGCTGAAACACTTGAGGCTGAAACACTTGAGAAGAACTAATTCAAATCGTGAAGGGGGTTCCCCCTTTATCAACCCAGTAGTTGTTTCCTTCTTACATTTACCTCTTTCAACACAAGCCACCATTTCCTTGTCTGAAACATGAAAATCACAACAACCACTTTATAGTCTTGATATTTTAAATCAAATAAAATACCTAGAATAGTACATGTTCCACAGATGCTTTGATAATAAATGCTGGCTAGTATTTCTGTTAGTATTAGGAAGGAGAGATTGGCTCAGCCTAGGGTAGCACTAGAGGAGTTGGTGTCTTCAACCTGGGATTAGCAGTTCAAAGATAAAGGACCAGGTACCAGGAATGGCATCTGCTGGGATCAGATGCATAGGAAAGCACAGGCTATTCAGGGATTCTGTATAATTCATTTTGCTTGGGTTAAGATAGGGGCTGTTGGTGCAGTACAGCAAGAACAAGAGGTTAGAAGGTAAAGGAAGAGCTGTGTGGCATGTAAGTTGTAGAGTCCTTAAATAATGAAACATCCTAAAATCAGCCCTCTTATTCCTATCAACTTGAAAACACCTACTTCCTTCTCCTTATCCAACAGTGATTAACTCAGTCGCCTCCAATTTTCTTCTATGTGCATAACTCTCTGTTATTTTCTTTGAGGTAGGATCCGTATCTGATGCTCTCATTTGTCTTTCATAACATTGAACAGATTGATTGAATGTGTTCTAAGGCTTTGGTATTAATAAGAAAAATTACCAAAAGCTGCTAAATTATGCATGAAAACTTTTGGTTAACTGAGAAGTTAGAACACTTGAGTTCTAAAAAATTTTCTCATGTATCTTTTCCCCTGGCAAAAATTGCCAATAAACTTTGGGAAAATTTGTGTATTGAATTTTAAAAAACCTAATTTTCCACTTAAAATGCATTCATTTGATGAAATAGCTCTAAAATTCTACCCCTCCTTGTTTCTCTTTAATCTTCATATTTTGTTAAATTCACGTTTTCTAAAAGATTGAGTATCTGTAAACCTGGTGTCAATTCCTGGAAAATGTTCTTATTTCAGATGATTTGCAAGGAAATGCTGATTTCATGCATTTGTGAAATGTTGATGGTTTTTTGTCTTATACTACCTGCCTACCTTATTCAACCACTCCAATAGCATTAGCACAAAGAACAATTATTTTATATAAAACAATGAGAAAAAATTTTAATAATGTGGGTCAGTAGTGGAAAAAAATGGTAATTTTATGGGCCTGGGCCATCTAGCCATGATTTTTGTTTTATTTTGCTTAAAAATGTGTTAAAACTGAAAAAATATTTTGCCAGCCACCTCTTCCCTTGCCTTTTTGAAAGTCCATATGTTCTGTGGGGAAAATTGAATTCAGCTTCATTTGAGTCTTTGCAAAATTTTAAAAGAGCTATTTATGTGCAAAATTTGTGAGTCTTTAGAAACCAAACCTAAAGTCA